GACGACGACGACGACGATGACTATTTCGACTACGACTGCTATGACGACGACGACTACTACTACTACCACTACTACTACTACTACCACGGCTGCCACTGCTACTGCTACTGCCAAGCTACTGCTACTACGGCGGCGACTCCCACTACTCCTGACTACTAGCACTGCTTCAGCAACATCAAGTATTTTGGGTGTCTTGAAAGCATGGTGGGCTGACGAAACTTAGGTACCATAATATCATTATAATACTCTATGCTGCCTATGCTGTACTATTCTGACGGAGGAATTCAAAGACGTAAGGTCCCTTACCCGACACTCTCCGGCTGTCGCTGCAGCCATTGAGTCCGATCCATTGCCCGATGGTTGCCGGAATGCCCACTCTAGCCCAAAAAGCACCCAGACACACACATGTTAAGTCAGTATCCCTACAAGGGTAGGTTTCAATCGTTTATGCTTAGGTGTTTTTTGCAGGGGGCCGGGGGGACGCAGTGGGCTTAACGTTTCGTAAGCCACGAGCCGATACGGTGCTACTTCCCATTTGCTGCCCACCCGGTTCGATCCGTCTGAAAGATGTCTGGGCCGAGGCATATGGTAGAATTGCTGCATGGGAAAGATAGTCTGTAGAGCCACAGAGTCTCACGTTCTTTGATTGTGCTTTGGAGTAAGCCCTATCTGACTGCAGCTGCTGTTGCGTGTTTGGCCAACATATCTTTCTACACATGATCTGCTCTTTCTAAATGCGATGGCATCCTTGCCGACAGATCTTCTTTAGAGGTGACCCGACCATCAGCCGCACAGGTTGTCCGTACGTGTGGTGGCCGCTGCTGTGCCAGCGTGCGGACACTCAGACGAGCTCAGACGTGCAAATCGCGAGCCGCCAGCCCTCAACCCCATACGTAAAGAGCCCTCAAACCCCAAATCCTGACCTTAAGCCGCAATAAAGCCTGTGGCCCCAAGCCCGGAAGCCTGTGCCTAAACAGCCCCACGCCCGCCCGAGACACGGCAGTAAAGCACTCCTTAAGCCGACCAAGAACCAAGCAGAGCGGCTCCGTGTTTGCTTGGTTTGGAGCTTTCTGTCCGACGTAGCTTTATTAAGAGCAATGGAACCCAAGTCAGAAATTCAATGCAAGCTCTGAATAACAGGACAGCCTTCACGCAGTCTTGGCACAAATGTTCCTTAACAGTTTCAAGATCCCACACTGTAGTTGTCTCCTCGTCCTTGTGTGGATTGTTGGGGTAACGCACAATGTTCTCAAGCGTCAAGCCTTTGTAGCACCTAGCTTGCTCAGGCCTCTGACGTTTCAGCATAAGGCTTCGGTCATTCACGCGGTAGACAAGAAAGTGTTCCTTCCTGAGGTTGGGCAAACCGGGTTGGATGTCCAGCCAGCGCCCACGCCTCGAGGCCTGGGCCTCTGGGAAGCTTCGAGGCCTTGAGGTTTTAACCCTCTCAGGAATTGGGCTCTTGGGCCCTGTACACCGTGCACCCGAGAGACTGTCAGTCCAGAATTTGTAGACCCCTCCGGGTGAACCTAAGCCCTTTGTAAACCCGATAGGCGCTGGACCCTAAACCCCTCAGCCCTGCAGGCACTAAACCCTCGATCCCTGTAAGCCGGCTTCTTACACCCCGAAACCTACCTTTTGGTCAACACCTCAGTCTGTAAAACGCTTTCGGAACATGAGAGATCCCAAGATAGCTCCTAAGTAACGACGGGATCCCTTTCAAAACGGTCTCCAGAAGCGACATGCCATCTTCGAGAAACTCCAGCAAACGAGGTCCACACATGGTGCCATCTTCTGCTTCATCTATCTTCCATCAAGCATCTCAGAGTCTGTAGCGATGGTCCATCATGGCACTGATCAAGTTACGTTGCCAGGTCTCCGTTGGCGACATCCACAAGGAGCCGTTCTTGGTGTCCAAAAAGCGACGAAGCCTGAGCAGCTTTGGGGCTCCATCATTCTAAAATCAAGCAATGGAGAGTCCATTAGAAGATAATCGTACGTCGTAGATGACAAAATAGATAGCAACACGAAGTCGAAGAACACTTTGTTCGGGGCGACGAAATCATAATCATTCGTGGCTTCTTTCTTCAAGCTTTGCTGTCTCGGTGCCAGTTTTACTCTGCGAGACCGGCGATTACAGAGGAGACGGAGCTCGGCGACTACGACGAAGGCGACAATGCATGGGCGTGCCCGGCGTGCCCGTGTTGTTCTGCTTTGGGAGGTTTGGTTGGGCGATTTGACACGGGAGGTGTGCAATGTAGGGACCTGGAGGGTTACCGATACCATGTTTTAGGATTCCATTTTTTTGTATCAGTATTCAATTATTAAAGCCTTTATGCTGGACAAATATGTGAAGGGCTCGTGACCGAGTTTGCAGAGCTTGTGACTGAGTCCAGGACGACACACGGCCTCAGTCTACACCCACACTTGCCAGGCTGCCCCAAGCCCTTTTCATTAAGCGATCCCCTAGTGCCCATAGTCTTCATTTGTTTTCTGAACACAAGTCACAACGATGTTATTACTACTATGTGCACCACGTTGTTGTTAGGACTATGGCTCTTCAGTTTGGTAGTAACTATAAATGAAACTTGCCACTGTTACAACTTGGCGCCACCTGTAAGAGGAAAGATCGCAATCACGTTGGCATCACTAGTGTTATCCCACCACCACTACCACCACCGCCACCGCCACCGACAGCAATAGCAGCAGCAACAACAAGCAGAAGAGCGATAACATGGTATCATCACCAACAGCCACGTCGCTTCAACTGGTCGGAATAATGAATATTGAGACTCCGTTGTAGTCCCTGTGCGTTCGAGCGATCATTACAAAGGGCCATGGCCATGGCCACCAGAGTTTTTTACCCCCTGAGGCAATTCTCGCGGGTCTGGCGACGGTGCGTCCAAGGCCGGTATTTGAGGTCTCCTTATCTTACACGTACAGGCATACATACGTACATACATAGTATATGTAGTGTATATAGTGTGCATTTAGCACATATAGTCTGTGATGACAGTGCTCCCGCTATGTAGTGATTGAGGGCTCTTGGGGTGTAGCTTAGGACTTAATATAGAGGTCTCAAGAGCTCCAGCACAAGCTCGCCCAAAGCCCCATTTCAACAATTTCCGGGCCCTGGGTCTTGAAACTTATCATATAGAGGCCAGGATAGACCCTAGTGCTGGTCAGTGCCTTCTTAGTCTCATGGTATGATGATGTATGATGCGCCGAAACCCTTCCTAATTGTTGAGCCCTATATTATACATAGCCCCAACCCTCAGACTCCTCGTGCTTGAGATGGAGCTTGCAAGAGTGGTCCGCCACACCGAAACCCCTCCTGAACCCCTGAGCAGCAAGGAGACGTCCTATATCCGAAACCAAGGGGTGAGAGTGGATTTCAGGACTAAGCACGAAGCTCAGGCGTGTCGGGCATGAGTGCATTTGGCAAGAGATTCTCGATTCTGATGCAAGCCTATCCTTGGTTCCAGGAGGCCAAAGAATCTCGAAGCACTGTTGTCCCCGAGGTCTTCATCAAAGCGGTTAGGGCCTCTATAGGGTTTAGAGGATCGAGTTTCGAAAAGTGTTGTAGAGTGCAGGCTTTAGGGTTTCTTCAGGCGGGGGTTACTGTTCCTTCCGGGCTTGCGGTCTCTGTGTGTAGTGTTGTGGATTAGGTTTTCAGGGTTTAGGGTTTGTGGTCTGTGAGCTTGGCAGTGTGCAGGAGGCAGATTTCTGGCTTCCTGCACCCTGGACTTTCAACACCCCCATGATCTTAGATGCCTAACCGTCACATCCGAAAGCTTGAAGACCTCGGGCGATAAATGCCACAAGCACGAAACACCCTGAGCCCCGTAAGCTCCCTACAGTAGAGCCTTACAGCCCCGATTGCGTTTAAAAGCACAAAGCACCTTAGGACCCCAGTCTAGCTGTTGAGACCTTCGTATTAGGCATAAGCCACTGTGAAGGACTGTCCCTGGCGCTTTGGCGACACCCTCACCTTCAAACTCAACCTGCAGGTGCAATATGTATAGTTGCTACTATGATTTCCTCCGGGTTCCTCAAAATATTTGTGGCATAAAAACCCGAACCCTATTCAAGTCATGACGGCCCTTAACTATTACACAGTGCTTAGAGCCTCGGGTTTGTAGGGCTGAGTGTCAAGGTTACTAAGCACCCGAAGCCGCCGTAGCTCTAAAGCCCTGAGAATCTTCTATGTAGGGTTTAGGGTTTAGGGTTTAGGGTTTAGGGTTAGGGAGCTGTGTGGACGTTGTCAGGTGAGTAAAGCTTGCACAAATTGTCCAGAAGCCGGAAATTCTTACTGAAACCATGGCCTGGACATTTTCATGTGTTGCCTGCGAGCCTTGGATAGTGCTCTGCTTCGGGTCCTGTTCGGTTGGATTTGACTAGGTGTCCAGTTATCCAGAGCAGTCCCACGACGTCAAGCCCTCACGCACAACCCAGAACTACAACCTTAACGACGTCACCATCACAACCGCGATAACTTCCTAAGCCCCAATGAGCACAGCCGAAGACTGGCCATCAGCTGGTATGCATCGCAGCATGTCTTCTGCCCTGAGGTTGCGGAAGCACGTTCTGTTGGTTTGAACATCTTCCGTCCACATAAAGAAATGCATCATAGAAGCTCCACGGCATCATAAACCCGTGCCCTCGACTGTCAAACCCCAAGTTGGTGAACTCACAACCATACCGGCCTGGAATCTGGTCGAGCCAATAAATAGGGGTTGCGGTTGAAATTATGCTACGATTATTGATGGAGCCCCTGAAGCAAAATCTCAGATTGCAGATTCTGCAGGTCCAGGGCGTAAACGAAGCTTCACAGGCGTAGGCACTGAGCCCTAGTTTTACCAGTGCGGCCTGGACCCAGACCGCCACCCCGAGTGTTCCCTCCAGAAGACTCTGACCCTAAACCCCTCCCGAGAACCAAAAACGTTAACAGTTTCTGGGGTGCAGGACGTGCTCGGACCTGGACTCAAGCTCAAGCTTCGAGCCGTCAGCGACATCACGCGGGGTACTGAAAGTGTGGGTTATGGCATCTGCATTCTGGGGTTTTTAGGCTTTGGGATCTTGTCCATGTAAGTGTGGGGACGCAGGGGCTTGGTGGTGCACGCGTAGGGTGGCGAGCCGAGCCGATGCAGACCCTGAAGGCAAACGATAGATGCCTGATCTTGGATCCAGGCTGCGGTTCTTCTGGAAAGCCATAGCAACTGCAATGCCAGCAGAAACACCGACTGCAATCGTAGTAGACACTATACGACAGGCGGTGATGAACATTTCCTTAGAGTTCCGGCTTTCAACTTCGTATGTGAGGGCGTGTGGCATCCGTACGGTCGTTGGAAGAGCTCATGCCTCAACCTTGTCGACACAAGTTCTAGGCTCCAGGACTTCTTGACCAATGTCGTTGGAGCCCATCGCATCCTTGCATCCTGTTTCGTCGGGCGACTTTCTGCTGAGGGGGGATCAATCTCGCGGTGCCTGTAGCACAAAAACATAAGTACACACCCAAAAGGAGAGAGGGCGACGTTGAATCATCCCCAAAGCAACCATAGCATGAAACCTTACTCCGGCGCCTGCGAGCCCAAGTCTTCCTCCCCTGAAAATTCCGGTTTGGGATTTCGGGTCCTACTTCCAGGTAACCTTTAGGTCCGAAGAACCCTCAAGAAGCAACCTTCCCAACTCACCCACCCCCCGTCTGATTTTCTGTACTAGGATCCGCCAAGGGTCCCGTGCTCATAATGCCTGGGTCTTGTCCCCTGCGTGTGCACTTTCTGCCCTCGCTCTCTTGGCCCGAAGAGCTGACTTTGGGGCTTTGGGGCTTTGGGCGGGAACAACACGTTCTGGCCTTTAGCCTCCATTGCTCGGAGAGATAGCTTTTTTTAGGACCATCATCTTTTACATAGCTTCTACCCCGTAGTAGCAGTAACACGGAAGCTGCCGTGTTTGAGGATGTGTGGGGCACAAGATATTCATAGGCCCCCTTTGAAGGAGTTGCTTCCGGAAAAGAGCCGGCTCGTGCGACGTAAGAGATGACTTGATCCTGTAGGGTGCTCAACAACCTGAGCCATTGAAGCCTCCATCAAGGTGCAGTGGTGTTGAACAAAGGTAATTGCCCTAGAAACTGGGCAGGAAAGTTGATGAGGCCATGCGAAAGCTGTTTGTGTTCCCTTTGTGGGCCGCGATCCTGTGGCTGGCGGCGCAGATTGCGGCATCGCGGCATGCACCTAGAGCTCTCTTGGTTACTTAAAACCTTCCCAGATGTACACTCATGCCAGCTGGCAGTTGAGTTTGTGGGGAGGATCGGCTGCCGTTTCCTCCAAACCTCACGTAGAGTGAAGATTCTGCAGTCATTGAACCATTGCATTTGTTTTTCAGATTCTGCCGCAGGATGGAATTAGATCCCCTAAACCCCAAGGCCCCAAGACCCTGCAGCCTGTGTTACTGAAATGTTTCTGGAGCTGCATGGTCGCAAAGGTTCGGCTGGTAGAGCCGTCGCCGCAGACAGCCCGCAGGCACAGCAATGTGTGTTTATAAGTTTTGGAGCTCCGGGTCTGTGTGGTGTATAGGGTCGCTGTGGTATCCCAGGCTTCCGAGTGTGAGCCGTATTCAAGGAATATGGAATACTTAATACTTTTTGCAACCCTTCCCAGTTCACCCACCATCACCATTGTCAGCAGCAGCAACAGCACGCACTAGTGCTGATCAGAGATTATGGCGACAGTTCTCACCATGATAGTTCATTCGAGCGAAAGTTTCATTGAGCGACTGGCAGCGATACCTGGTAGGAACAGCCGTCTTACCACACAGGTGTTTTGACTGAAGACGCATGGTAAACCTGCGATGATTGCATGCTCAAGGCTTGCAGGATTTGGGAACTGTCCTAGACCAACCTTGATTCAGAACTTGGGGTGTGGCGGATTCAAGGTGCAGAGTCTGCAAGGTTGCAAGCTGGACATGTGTTTTTGGATTGAGGGTTGGGAGTTTGCGCTTCAGCGGCACTGCTTCAGGATCACTTCACTTTCCTCGAAGGTCGCAATCAGAGCGAGGACAAATACAGTCAAAGTCTTGTCGAGAGATCGAGAGACGTGTTGTAGGCCTGGGTTTACAGGAGCATTAGCTGGAACTCTGCTCAGAGAACAAAAGAACCCTGTCAGTACCAAGTCTCGTCACTCGTACTGTGGACGAACTTCGACTTCCAAAGTAGCATTCTGCGGGGCTGTGCAATCATTGTGGTATCCGCATACTACACAGCCCTACTTGCTAAGTCTCGCTACGCAGCACAATAAAGCCACATCATTATCGCAGAGCCTCAAATCATTTCCAACACTGCGCCCTAAACTCTAAACAACCCTACACCCCAAACCCTAACCTAAGACCATCTAAGACCCTTAAGGATTTCTGCAGGGAAAAGCCTCTACACCTTCGGCCACGAGGGCTTGGGGCGGCTTCGCCCGGCTTGGGCCCTGGAGTCTTTGGGCCTTGGGGTTTTCGGATTCAGGGTTTGGGGTGTAGGAATGTGTAGGATTTGGGGCGTGAGGTTTAGGATGTAAGGCGGTTGGCATTAATGGGCAAGGCAGGATGTCGGAGAGTGTTGGTGCTTTGAGGTTTCACGGTCTTCAGCATCTTGGTGCAGGGTGTTCTGGCTTTCTGGTTCCGGATCGGAGGCCTAGAAGGATGTGGTCATGCGAGGCTTAAGCTTTCGGAGTGAAGGGACCAGGCTCCCAAGCTACCCGTTTAATGGAAGCCGTCTGCTCTTTAGAGCGATTCTGGCTGGGGTGCGGGACCACCTTCCTGAAATGTCATCGGCAGGTGAGCCTCGTCACGGCCAACCACACAATACCAGAGCTCCCTTCACAAAACCCTGGGCCCTGCAGCTCCAGAGAGGTTTGCTGCACACGGAAGTGGGCTCTTAAAAGGATAGGAAACACTTTCGAAAGCTCCCAGCCCAAAGCCCTCACATCCAAAATCCCAATCGCATATCCTTCGACCCCTGAACCCTAAGCCCTAAGCGATGTTTTCGAGCCTTTGTCACTCAGGATTCACTCCGCCATGGAGGGGCCCGGAGTTTGATCCTTGGGATTGAGATGAAGATGTCAGGGGTTGTTTGTATCTCACTGTTCAGATTGAGGGACAGGGGATGTTTGGTTTAGGGTTTCGGGGTAAGCAGGTGTCTTTTCTGGGCCTGGTTGTAAGGTATTGATCGAGTTCTTGAACACAGGTACCGATGTCTTGACAGAACGTGACACCGTTTTTGTTTAGCAGCCCAATGTGGTAGCCCGAGCCGGTCGACTGCCTGTCACCCCTTGGTTTCAATCAGGCATCTTCGGGCTGTAGGTTCAAGGATGCTGTGATCTCATGTGTTGCGGTCTTCGTGGTCTGGGATGGTTTCGGGTTCTTAGGGCTCACAAGGATGGGGTGCAGCATTCCAGATAGCTCCAAGGCCCGAACCCAAAGAATCCGAAGCCCTAAATTGGATTTCGACGCTGAGCCCGGCGGGAAGAGTTAGAGGTTCCGCGGCCCTCTGGAGCTCTTGAAGTCCACTGCCCTTGATTTTTGCTACACTTTGGGTTCTCAATTTCTTGTTGGTGGGTGGTCAATTGAAGAAGATCCGATTAGGAGCGTGTTTCACAGGCTCCTGCCTGGCCGCTCAGGAAAGCGACGCCCGACAACTTTCTGTGGAGGTAGAGCTGTACGACGATGACGACGCCAACGATACCAACGACAGCAATTGGACAGATGCTTGTCTCCGTGCTGGAATCGAAACAGTGAGGCAGCTGAAGAAGAGGATGTGCACAGTATGCGCCAACAACGAAGCTGGTGTTAGTGATGCTTCTCCCTCAGCACCCTTAACGGCAGCCATTCTTGTCAAATGGGTTTCAGACCAGGAGCTGCATCCCGCTACCTGCTAAGCCTCCGTTACAAGTACCCCAGAGCTCTGAGACAGCCAGGGCATGCATTTCTGCTAGGACCTTCTTGCAGTCGGGTTGTTTGGTTTGCAGGGCAGGTTCGGGCTTGAAAGAGCAGAGTCTATCTGTGACGATTCCGAAGGCTAGGGAGAATCTGTGTTGGTCGTGCTTGTCGATCCGGTGCTTTTCGCTCAGCTGAGACCGAGGATGACAGCGACGACAACACGACAACGACGACCACTCTCACTGTCACAAGCAGCACTGGCACCAGAACCAGCAGCACGGCCACGACCAGCACGAAAACCACCAGCACAGCAACCACCACCAGCAAGACTGTCACGACAAGCACGAAAACCACTAGCACAGCCACGACAAGCACGGCAACCACCACCAGCAAGACTGTCACGACAAGCACGAAAACCACTAGCACAGCCACGACAAGCACGGCAACCACCACCAGCAAGACCATTACCACGAGCACGGCCACGACCGTAACCGTCACTGGCACCACCACTACGCCGACCACTACTACCCAGACTACCACTACCCTGACGACCATTTCGCTGACCACCACTACGCAGACTTCCACACGCACGACTGCATCTAGCTTGCAGTCAAGCCTGCGAAATCCCAAAGCATCATGGGTTGACCCTTAGATGATGGTTTTCAAGCACGAAAATATTGTCCTAATGTACATCATAATCATGCATACACACAAGCATGCATGCATGCATGCATGGCACACACGCAAACCTTACATACATACGTACACACATACATGCACACGCATATACACCCCTCAACACTCCCATGTACATACATACAGACATACAGACACACATGCACACTTCAATACATGCGTGCATGCATGCATGCATGCATGCATGCATGCATGCATGCATGCATGCATGCATGCAAACATACGTACATGCGTGCTTACAGACATACATGCTAACATGAATACATGCAGGCATCGATGCACACATTCACACACAGACATGTACATGTACATACATGCATGCATACATACATACATGCGTGCATGCAGGCAGGCAGTCATGTACGCGTATGTACCGTTGTATTATAATAGCTATACATATTTG